AGTCAGTTATACAAGAGGCCCAGTCGAAGAGCATCATTATATTTACATTGAACATCATTGAAAGCACGGAAGTCATGCCAGAAAGAAGTGGCTTCAGTATTGTTAGAGGAATATGCTCGTACTCAAATAATTCCGCCTACATCCCCACACTGGATGCTACTAGTGATTCTGAGCTGCTGCTTTGAGTTAGCAGATTTGGCTTTCAGACCGCAATTTGCACAGGAAGCTCTTTTGTCGATTCAACACTTCTAGTGTGTTGCTTTCTACAGATTGCACAGGTTAGTTAGTACTAGTAGCTGAAAATAAAGCCGCTTGACGTTCAAACCGTATTTCTGCCATTTTCCTAAGCTTGAGCTCATTTTCTCGGCAGGAAATACTCGCAAATGCTCGAGAAAAATTAAAGAATGCAACTGACATGAAGCCAGCGCAGGGAGCTTAGAGTTGGATGAGTTCCCTTCTCACAGATCAATACCCGATGACCCACAGCTGTAGCTGAGGCTCTCCAAAGCTGTAGCCAAAGTGCTGAACAAAGGCTGGGAAGAGGAACAAAGAAAGCATAGTTTAGTTCACACATTTATTTAATTCCATCCTTTGTCCTTGTACCTCTTTTTAAAACCCTTTTTAACGCGTAAACATCCACACCTTTTAAGTACAAGACTTCTTGCACTCCCGACCTTCCTTCTTGTGTCCGACGGCGTGTCTCATCCTGTCGTTCAGAACGCTCGTCCACCGCGCCTTCGCCTCCCGTAGGCTGGGAGGGCGTGTCGTGGCCCTCGAACTTCAGCGCCGTTCACGTGGCAGCAAAGCTCGGCGATGCCACGTGGCCAGACCGTTCAGCTCGGAGGGAGGAGCTGGAGGCTGGGCCGAGGCGCTCCTTGAGCGAAAGGCTCCGAGAGGAGGAGACCGCCAGCGCTTTTGGATCACACCGGGAGACCGTTTGACCACCCAAAAGAAGTGAACTGAATAGACTACTAGTGGTCGGTCAACCCACCAGGGTTTGGGGCTGATTTTGACCCACAGCCATTTGAGGATGCCCAAACGAGTCGTTTGTTTGCTCTGCTTTTTAAAGGGAAGTTCTCAGCATTATCTGTGAGAACAGCCGAGGTGAAGGCCATTGAAATTCTGGCAGAGGTTGGCGCGGACCTCGCGCCAAGCTGGCGATTCTTTGAGAAACGGATAGAACATGATATTGTTTGATAATTTTTTGTCAATCGGGTGGCCCCCAAAAATATGCTTGGATGTTCTACCTGGAAGTGGTGCACTTCTTGTGTTGGTATGTGGGGTATAGAATCGGACATGTTTCAATGACAGGTTGCAAGATGACTGGAAGTTGACACCAATTGACTATGTGAAGCTCTCAGTTGATTTCAGACGTTTTCGACTGGTGAACGCCGGTGGGTATTGTCGCCGTTTGGGAAAGTTGAGCCTTACTCGAACAATGTGGCTATTAGCGGCTCCTGGTTCTGTGATCGGCTGTTGTTTTGCCAACTTAGGACTTATAGTTAAGTGTGTTAAAGCAGAGTTTGGGCTAAAGGCTAAAGTAGATCGATTTGCGGTCGCATGCAGAGAATCTGTCACAGAGACTCGCCTCACTTGCTCTTCAGCACAGAAGATTGACAATTGATTGGCAAGGTTTAGGCGTGTTTAGCCCTTCACAGTCCTTTCCGAGGCCGCTCAGAACGGGAACCAGGAGGCCGTCGCGGCGTTACAACACCATTTGGCGAAGGCGGACTCTGGGAAGATCGAGGGAAGCTCATGTGCTCATGTTTGAGCAAGTGGTACATTCTGAAGAACCTGAAGGCCAATCGGCGGGGGTGAAAGAAAAGGCGCATAGTCATCTACGAAGGTGGGAAGGTGGCGCCTTCAATGTAAGGTGGTAAGGTCTTTGGGCGCTTCACCCTCATGCGCTCTAGTTTGCTCATGAAAAGAATCTGCCTGAGAGCACTGACAGCACCAGAACAATGATATGTCCTTGCCACTGAGAGAAACTTCATTCTCAGGCTGCTATAGAGGCACAACATGTGGCATTCAATAGGTGGTGGTTGACGAGTGCGCCCCGCTAATCTTTCCCCTCTTGTCAGTTTGCAGACAGGCAGAAGAACGAGCCGCGGAACAAGCAGCACAGGCAGCACAGCAGGCAGAACAGGCCCAGAGGGCACCAATGCCGGGAGCTTGGATGGTTGGTTACATGCATTTAGAAACACAACACGCTTTTGTTTGGACGCCAGTTGAATTTCAATTTGCAGTTGGCTGCGTGTAATTTGTTGCTACTGGCTTGTATGCGTGCCTTCTGACTAGCTGAGGCAGACGGCAGCAAGGCCAAATGCGCTGCAAGTGGCTTTTATTGCATTCATGGTAGAACCCTGAAGGAAGGTCTGTGGTCATGGATGGTGGTTCATGGGTCAGGCTACTCTATGCCAGTGCGAATATCGTTGACCGTTGAATTGGCTCTGAATGTCCTAGGGTTGAAGTGATCAGAACCGATTCTGGTGACCCTGTGACCAATCTCTCAAAGCTCAGAATGTTCTGAATCCGCTGGATCTCGCATTCCTCAAAACCCATCGAACCTCTAGTGGTGACCTGGTGTGGATGCTGTGCGATCGACTGAGGTCCAATGGGCAGATGGAGCTTCAGCCGAGCGTCCCGCATCGCCGTCTCATGCATCGCCTGCGTCTCCCGCATCGCCTGCGTCTCACGCATCGCCATCTGCAGCGCCAGCTGCTTCGGGCTCTGAACGGTCTCCTCATCCGACTGGGCTTGCTGTGAGTGGACTGGGAGCAGCAAGAGCTTCTGTGTCACCGGCCTCACCCACCAGCAGGTCGCCAAGACCCAAGGTTGACCCTGGACCTGTACCAGAAGGAATCAGGCGGGATTTGTGTTAATTTGATGCGTTTGTTTGAAGCAAACAACACCATAAGTTATTCATGGTTAAGTTCTTGGAGCCAGGATCGTGAGCGATTGCTGCTAGAATGGCGTTTGCTGTGCGTTGTATTCAAAACCAACTACCCGAAGCTGGCATCACAGCCATGTCAAGATATTATCAGTTTCCATCCATGGTCCCGAATGACGAAAGACACACGTGTAAACAGCAGACCTTTGATGCCCAGGCCAGAGTTGCAAAAGGCTTGTCAGGTGGTGAAGAAGAAAGGCTGGAAGAAAGTCAGGATCACCCAGTCGCAAGAAAGTCGGGGTTTGATGAAGATCAAAAAGCGCCATGCCCATCCCAGCCCCCATTGCTACAGGATATGAGGGAACAATAGGGAATAGCTGGAACTATCCTTGTTGCTCATCCTCTTTGTTTCAATTCCAATGTTCTTCGGCATGAGTCCAAGAGTCCGTAGAAAGACTCGTCTCGAGGTGACTTGGCCCCATGGCTTCAGTGCTTTACACTTGGCAGCACAGCTGGGTGAGGACGGGGGATCTCCAGTGTTTGATCATGTTCCGGTAGATATAACTACCACTGTATATGCTGCATTTGAACATCCTTCAAAGGAAGAAAGAAAACCACAGATTGCCCCATGAGCTCCCATAAATGCCCCATGAGCTCCCTCGTGGGGTGCATGCCGTTTCTCTGCTTGTGTGGTGTGATGCTTAGAAGCACCCATGTCGCTACTTCTCACGTCGCATGGACAGAGTCGGTCTTTTGATTTACAGGGACATGGGCAGATCAGGGAATCTCGCAAAACACAAAATGAATAGATGAGTGGAGTATCAGTGGATTCCACCCTCAGCCTGTCCCACCGTAAACCTTTCAAAGTACAATAGAGTATAATTAATGTGAACGTTCCGCAGGGTATCCACCTGGCAGGAGAAAGCTGTAAGCTTTCTCCTGAGCGCGAGCCGGGCTTCTCAGTCTGATGACAGTCCTGGTGTCAAAGGCGTTGAAGAGGGATTCACCAGGGATTTCACTCTGCTTTGTCCTAATACGTTTTCATCCGTTCTCGTCTTGCTATGCAGCAGTCGCTTGCTATGCAAATATCAGGGACCAGATTGGACAAGTGCAGGGATATATGGCTGGGAACTGGTTTCTGGTCGCATTTGCTCGGCAAGTAAGACGACTCCAAGTTCCAAGACGATTCTGCTGTGAGGTGCTGTGCCAGATCTCACTGTGCAGGACAGGCACTGGCCACAAGCCAAGCTCAACATTGGTTCGGCCCATCTATTTCCATAACAATAGAGTCAATTGCAAATCTAGATAGGTCAGCCCAAGAACGGTTTAAGTTTTTGTGTACTGTAATGGCTCTTGCTTAAGCGCGATGAAACTGTTCACCCAAAGGAAATCCTGGTCAAACAGGCATAATTAGCCCAGAAATTGCACTTAGTTGTAAGACAAGATGGGGTCTGCCGGAGATGAAGCATGGTTTGCTATTCTAATGAATAGAATTAGCAACTCATGAGCTTCGCACAAGCAGGTTCACTTCAACATATGGCTTACTTTCGGATCCAGTCTTTTCAGATTCAGGTCGGGCTCTTTGGCTCTACAGTAAGTGTTTCGAGTTGGAAAGGGATGTGGGCTATAGAGCCCACATCTTTGACATCACAGACGTGTACATCCCAATGACAACAGCTTCCGGCCCTTTCGATTTATCATAATTTCCTGGTTTTGAGCCACAGAGACAGTTCACGACCTTTGCAGGACTAGAAAAGGCATAGCTTTGATATGTCTTGGCAAGTCAATCTCGCCAAGGGTTTAGTTTGGCTGAGGATACTTTTTGAACCATAGCCATAGCTATCGTTTTGCACCTTGATGCCAGGATTCCGACGGCAAGACAGCATTGGACTACGCCAAGGGAAAAGGAGCGCTTTGCAGAGAGACAATATGTGGCTTGGATCCGTTGTGCCTAATTTCAGGCAGATAATACGAACACTTTGGTTTTGGGTGTAGATGTGGTGGTTTCGCTTGCAAAAAGTGATTTCAAGCTGACGAATTGACGTGTTGTTTTTGAGGCTAAGAAATGGAAGACATTCGAAGACATGCAAGGTGAGATTGTTGATCAGCCATGCCACTGGTACAGGTGACTCGACAACAGAAGAGTCTTGGATTTCATCCAGTTCTCCTCAAAACAGCCGACTTTCGGGGGCTTCATTCTGCCTCATCTACAGGACATGAACATCTCGTGGAGCTCCTGACCCCACAAGTGGAGCAGATCGATGGTGCGGAGCTTGAAACGTTGTCCATCAAGCAGATGCCTCAAAAGTAAGCAGCAGTGCCGCAGTGCAGTGTCGCGGCGGGGTACAAGATACGTTCAGTGTTGTGGATTCATCTTCCGAACGCCCTTCCACAGCCACTGAGACGATTTGCCTGCAGTAGCACAGGACTGCCTGGAACTCCTTTATTTGTCCATGAGCTGTCACGTCTAGACAGCTGTTTTCAGACAGAAACTGTATATGATGGATGGTTTAAAACTTCAAAATTCATCAAAATTCAACATCAACGTTCTGACTTGGGCAGCACATTTTTTTTGTTGAATGATTCAGTTTCGTTTTCGGCCATGCGGTTTGTTCAAGGAGTCACCCTCCGGCGAAGGCAGGTCGTGCTTTTCCTGATCACTCATTGGCCCTGAAAAGAGACGGACGCATCGGTTCCGATGACAACCTGTTCAGTTCGCTGCCTCAACCGCGTGTTGGCACAGTGCATTTCTAGCTTCCAGCGAACGATTGTGTTGTTTGAGTGGGCAGGATCTTGCCCTCATGCTTCAGATCCTTCAAGTAATAATTAGTAATTATAGTACATATATCATATATATCTCGGAATCATGCCGCAGAATGTCTCAACTACAGTATGCAAATGTATAAATACTATGTTAAAATGTCTCGACACAAAGAACCCCCCATAGACAAGGACTAACAGTAGTAACACGAAGCCTTCTAGTATGTCTTTGAAGCTGCTAGGTGGAGGCCATCGCTATTGGGGTGGAGGGCCATTACTACTAGCAACAAGAAGCTACTAGTAACAAAGGGTATCGCTACTAGGAGCAAGGACGCTACTAGTGGCTCCGGGCATCGCTATAGTAACAAGAAGCTGTCTAGTTTCAGTTTCTCAAAACCAGGCGTGGGTGGCAGCATCGCTTTACCGGGCACACGAGCTGGCCACCACGGCACCGTCCGCCGAGCCGTGGGGGGCACCACGGGGGGCTCCGGAGCTGATGGAGTCGCGACTCTTCCGCAGCTTGGGATCAGAGTCTGAGGAGTTTTGAGAATAGGCACTTTCTATGGCGTCTGATAGTAGTATATATGACATGATTATACAATATTATACATACATGTATATTATACATACATTTTGTAGACTATGAGTGTAATTATGGATATTGTCTATGATAGTATATATATATATAGTATTTATGGTAAGATAAAGAGAGATGATTGGAAATTCTATATATGATGTTATGTTCAATACAGATTGATATGCATATTCAAACGGAATTGATCTCCAACGAACATGTTGCAAACAGATGTGTGTTACAAACAGATGCGGTTCGAGCATCGGTCGACTGGACCCTGAACATCGGTCACGGTGCCTCAGGCGATGGAGAGCAGCGGCCTCACGAGAAGGAACTGGTGAGGTATGGAAGACATCAGGATTTAGTATTTAGATGTCATAAGGTAATGAGTGATCACTGTCAAGAGATGTCAAGGGAATTGGAGAATTGGCTTGAGACTCACCAAGATGCAGCTCAATCGACTCAGGCCCACATGCAGAGGGAAGGTTCAGAGCCAAGGCCTTTGCGGCATAAACAGCATGATTCGACCGGCTTCCTGGTTCATGGACGTCAGTCAAGCTTTTGTCTCCAAGACCTATGTCCTTTCCCAACCAGAATCGTGGCCACAAGGGAAAGAGAGCTGACAGAACTGGGAGGCGCACGAAGTCCATCTTCAGCGCAAGACCTTGACAAACCTCTCAAAGGATGGGTATTGTATCAAGCCGTGAACAGGCAGCGACTCGTTCACGTGTGACATACTGTAGCTTGTATATGAGTCTTTTGCTGGCTTTCATGGAGCCGAGTGGCAGGTTGGAATAGCGTAATTGGTTGGAGATGAACTTAATGAATTAATGCATCAACATAAATTAGATGTGGTCCTAAGAAAGACATGCCACAGGTGATCACAGATGTAGTCCTGTTGCTCAGTCATGCTTGGCCTGAACATGTTGGATTCCACAATGATTGTTTGATTTGCAGGAGACGGAACAGTTCAGGCAGACTGGCCGAAGTTCGCTACTCTATTCTTCGAATGCAGACCTTCGCAAAGAGAACGAAGGCTTGAAGAAGGAGAGGCAATGAATGAAAGACGTGTATAAATTGTACTTTTCAACTCTTTTCAACTGCTCATATTCAGAAGACGCTTATGTCATGAGAAGAAATCACTTTTTTCCGGTGAACGTCGCCATTGATTTGTTGACATCCAGCTTTGCAGTCTCAAACACTGCGACTGAAATTCCCAGGATCTCCAGGCGCTCAGCTCCACTGGCCCCTTGGTCGATCAGTGATTCGAAGCGATTTGTAGATGTTGAAAGACTTTCTTTATCTCAAAAACATACAGGACGTGTTATATAAACATAAATCAAGTAACTATCAAGCAGCCACACAACATAGATGGCAAAAGACATGTTCACGAGAACGAGTCAATTTGATTGCTGGGAGACGTGCTGAGGAGTGCGCGCTGCACCACTCACAGAGGAGAGCTATTGGGCAGATCTGAAGTTAATTCCGGAAACATGTGCAGCAGCAGGGAATGCGGGCAATCTTCAAGTAAGTGAGCATTTGATATCATATTTCCAATGCTGGTTCAATTTTGGATGATTGCTCTCTTGCAATTCCAGAACTTGCTTCGGAAGTACATGCAAGAGATGGCTCTCTTCGGCAGGGACAAGGCCACAGAGACATGTTTCCAAAAGCAAAACCTAAAAAAACAGAACTGCACTTGGTTTTGCTTGGAGGTGATGGAAAAACTTCAGCAACCACATATGGCTGGTGGACAGGAGACAAAGCACGTTCATCGCATTTCGAGCAGTTTGTTTTGTGTTGCAATGGTTCAGCAAATTGAAAATTCCTAAGGATTGTTGATACAAGTGATACACGGGTTGTGCATACAGCTTTGTGATGCATATGATGCATGTTTTCAATAGATGCATTTCTTACATGTTTTAACTACTTATACAGTGTTATACAGTATACATGTCAATGAGGAAAGCTCACCTGTAGGATTCAATTAACAGTTTACTTAAAAAAAATAGTAAACCTTACGCGGGTTGAAAGACCGATGGATGAATGCTGTGAACATCCACGATTTTTGACACAGCTTCGGTGCCCCACCTTTGTAGCAGTCACAACACATGTAGCACTATTTTGAACAAAGGCCTTTTACTAGTCGTCATCATCATCATCATCATCACTGATCTAGGCAATGTCCACTCCTTTGTTGAAAGGGACTGGTTGGTCCAAGCTCTATTAGACCAGGACATGGGTCCGGATGAAGCCCAAACAGCCATTGCTCAGCTGGATATGATCTTCCGTTTGGCAGAGGTGGCCAAGGCAATGCCGGACCTGATGGGACAACTTGGAGCACCCACTCCTCGAGTAAAGGCTAATGAATGCCCTTTGATTACCAGCATGGATACATTCATGCGGTTGATGTGTTGAACCTCACAGACCAGACGGTCAGACGATGTCCAGTTTTTCAGAAGGATCCACAGGAACAAAGATGTCAAAGACATCTACCCTCCCTGAAACAATCATGGAAGTGGAACATGGCCTCTTGGAAGACTGTTTTCCTCTACAAACCGGTGGTTTTCCACTTCCATGATTGTTTCAGGAAGGGTAATTAGTTCTTCTAGTAGAGATCTCCTTATGGAATGCCTCATGTTGAGGTCCCTTGTGTCGATTCAGGCACCTTCCCAGGAGACAGAGCCACCTGTTGTCGAGGCGAGTCCGAAGAGTGGAGAGTTGTTGTGGAGGACACCGAAGCACTTTTCGAGCAGAAAAGATCCACCAGCAACCCGAGCTCAGGGTGTTTTGGAGGATGATAGATCTGATTTATGAATTCATGAGACCCACAGTCTTTGGACCCATGCCTTGGGTGGTTGGTACCCATGTCCTCTACCAAGTCTCAGGTTCTCGTGAAAGTCGGCTCGCAGCGTGCTGGTGAATTTTTCGTTCTCACGCCTCTCGCGACCTCGTCCGTTTTTGCGGCGTCTGAAGGTCGTTGTAACAGGACATCCAATATCAAGCCAATGTACTTTTCTGCCGAAGAGATTGGCAGACCCTCGAAGCCCATCCTGTAAGTAGAACAACCATAATCATGCATAATCCAGTGCTTTCTTTTTTGTCAGGGCAAAGGCAAAGGCAAAGGTCCAGCGCCATGCGCTAAGTTGATCGATTTGCTTGCTTGACTTCGTTGAATGTTGTTCTGCATGAGATGTGAGAAGCACCTTCTATGAGAATTTGTTTGTACCCATAAATTCAGAATCGATAGATTGTCTCGTTGCTTGGCGGCGAACTGGTTCATTTGAACATGAGCAGCAGCCCAAGAGGCAGGGTGGTACGTTAAGAATGCTTCAAGATGCTCCAAGTGTGTACTATAGACTCTTGATTCATAAACCCGCCCAATTTGGATGCACGGACTTGCGGACGATCCACGACGCCCGCCCACGCTCCCCCTTGCTAGGTATTCTAGCGGGTTGAGGTGGGACATTCAAGTGACACGATCTGGAAACCTCTTCACGTGGTTTCGTTTTATTGATCAATATTCCGCAGTATGACCATTTGGAGGAATAGCAGAGGAACAAAGTGGGCGCAAAACCGCAACCAACTGAGGAAGGGAACAAGTGCAGCTCCAGCGGCGGAAGGCGAGAAGAAGCTGTTGGGAATGCTGTTGGGATGTTAAAGAATAGACAGTAGAGCAGAGTTCATGCTGCAAAGGAGACCTCCAGGAATCCTGAGAAGAAAGGGGAGATTCTAGAAGAAGCGACTTTCACAACTTCCAATGGGTGTCGCGAGGCGCCAAGGCAGCAGAAGACACCGATTCTGTGCCTGAAGTCAAGGCAGAGGAGAGAAAGTTTGGTCACACGGGTTCTCAGCACAAGATGCTTCTACGGGGTTCGTGTTCCGCAACCACTGGTTTGGTGCGTTGGCTCACTTGATGGGTCACCAATGAAAGCCTTTTTACCGCTGGCCGCTGGTATTGCTTGGTGTTCTGAGTCATCCTGGGGATGTTGAGAATCTTCAAGTTTGACCACAAATCAGATTGCTATGCATAGGTCAACTCTGTGTTGTGCCAACAGTGTTTCATGCTCTCAACCTCTGGCATCTTCAAGATGCCGTTGTGAAGGCAACTGGCTCTCTCATTCCTCAGCTTGGGCACGATCATGCAAGAACTATGCACAATATAGATGGATATTGAGAGCCAGCGTCTTGGTAAGGCTCAACACATAGGCGTCACAAACCCGTGTGTCCGACAGAGTTTCTGGATAGCGGTGATGTGAGTCTGAGTTGGTGAATACATGGGCGTCTGTTGTTTCAGTCAAGTAGACACTACCATTTACGGCATTGTTCTTCCGCCAAGGGGTCGCCACATCGCCGGCGGTGTCGCCACATTTGCGGCAGGATCCTGCCGCAGAGGCAGCTCCAAAAGCCAAAGGGAAGGCCGACCATTTGAGGTAACCGATTTCGGACCTGGATGCATCCACCATGCTACTAGTACGTGCGTAACAAGAACGCTACTAGGGGCTCCTGGCATCGCTACTAGGAGCAAGGACGCTACTAGGAGCAAAGGGCATTTCTATACTAGGAGCAAGGACGCTACTAGGTTCTCACATGGTCATCACATAGCCATCACATGTTGAGAACACGCGACGGTTTGTTTCCACTTGAGATCCTGCAAGTGGAGCTGTGATTCTTTCTGCCGTTCATTCTCATACCCTGGCTTTCCTCAGTCCTTAGTGCTTAGTATCATGAATTTGTCATGGTTTCGGTTTCTAGGTGTTGGCGAGCAAGACGATAGGTGAAGGGTCAGGGCAACGCGATGAGAGTTGAGATCACATGGACCACATCCAGACTTTGAGGGCGACACATTCACAGAGGAACATGGACCTGTTGTGTACCCATACGTCCAAGATACATGTGACATTTGTGCTGCCTTGTCAGACCAATCTTAGTTGGATTGGCTTGTGTGCTCCCAGGCCAAAGGTCCACCCAAGGGCCCTGGGAAGGGCAAAGCTGCACAGACAGAGGAGGCAAAGGAATCAAAAGAAGTGCCTCATGTTCAATTATGTTTAGCAAAGAAACACCAGGTTGAAGGAATCAGTTGACTGTTTGGCCCTTAGAGCTTGGATTCTCTAGATCCAAGGAAACAAAAGAAGAAGCAAAGGAGGAGCCGAAAGAAGGAGCACCGAAGGGCAAGGGTCCCAAAGGTCCTGCCAAAGGCAAAGGACCCCCAGCCCCAGGTGGCAAAGGACCTCCCGCCCCTGCAGGCAAGGGACCTGCACCTCCGGGTGGTAAAGGACCCGCCCCAGCAGGAAAGGGTGGACCAGCAGCAGGTGGGAAGGCTGGCAAGGCTGGAAAAGGAGCGAAAGGTGGCGCCGGGGGCGGCTCTGGAGAGACCAAGCCAGTTGTGAAACCGAGTCAACCAATGAAGCCTTTGTGGTGGAGCAAGATGATTTTTGGAGCTCAGTTGAAGAAAGGAGAAAGTATTTGGGATGAAGTGAAGGATGATATGGAGAAGTTGCCACTGGAAGAACTCACTGAACGTTTCTCCAAGTCTGCTGCTGCCAGAGAAAAGCCGAAGAAGGAGAAGGCGGAGGGGAAGAAGGAGGAACTGAAGTCACTGCGTATCATTACAGACCCTCAGATCGTGGTTGGCAAGGAGGCATCCCTAAAGAAGCTTCCGGAACCCACTGAAGTCGCCCGTGCATTGGATGAGTTGGACGACACAGTGCTTAATCCCGAGCTACTGCAAGTTGTAAAGGACAATGCTTGTCCCACACCCGCACAGATGAAAGAGCTCGGAGAGGCGCGAACGAAGAATCCCAACGTTCCGCTGGCGCTCCCCGAGAGTTTCATGTGGGTCATCGGCCAGATGCCCGCTTATCAGCAACGGATTGATTGTTGGAGCTTCGCCATGACCTACAAGGAGCAACATGCAACATACCACACAGCATTGTCGGATTTCTTGCAGGTGGTCGAATGCTTTCAAGAGTCTGAGATGCTACCCACCTTGCTGGGCATCATTTTGGCTGTGGGGAATTACTTGAATGGTGGCACCAACCGAGGGCAAGCAGATGGCTTTGATATCGAGTCGTTAGCGAAACTGGAAGGCATCAAGGATGCGACCGGCAAAGACATCAGGCCGGCAGACTACTGGCCGGCAAACAGATCAATGACGGGACAGTGACAAACTCACAAGTAATTAGCTTAACGTCACCATAACTGATTGTCACAAGGACTCCCAGTCTGTGGCTTGTTTGCAGGTGACATTTGCAAACACATGCTGTCGCATTCCTATGAGATTCGTTTGTTGCATTTTCTTGCTCATTTGGATGTTGCTTCTATAAGGGTATACCGGTATACCCCAATCACCCTGGCAAACCGAGAAACAGAATGAAACAGACAATACAGCTCGTGTGGGTTGAGGGCGGCTCGTTTTCTGTGAGCAGTCTTGAAGATGCTTGACCCACACAGGCTGACGATCGTGAGATTTGTATGTCTCGCAATTCTGAGTCTTCAATCTTATTAGGTTGGAGGCCATTGCTAATTAGTAGTTGAAGGCCATTGCTAGTAAAAGTAACTGGGGAATTGAAGGCCATTGCCATTTTAATTCATGTCTGGGGGTTTGAACTTTTTTACATGCAAAACATGAAATTGACAAATCTGTTCAATCCCCCAGACATGGCTCAGATGTTTGATAACTCGATGCTTCCCTGAAGAAGACCTAAAACCCCCGGAGAAAACCACCCGGTCTAGCCGGAACCCTAACCCCACCCACCTACTAGCCTACGTGGGTACTGGAATGAATGGATGCGACCTTGCAGGCACTTCATTTTCGATCTTTTTCTGAACCGTATGACTGAGCAATCGACTCAATTTGTGGAAGAGCTGATGCCTTGCATGGTAAATATGACCCACGGCTGCGGAAATCGAAGGGAGGTATATCGTTTGTTTTGCTTCCTTTTTTTTTGGGGGGGGGTGATTATTTTGCAATCTTGAACATGTCTTTGACGGGTGCCTTTTTTCCATGCTTAAATGATGTTCCCACATTTGGAATCCACCAGAGCAGGCAGGCTGAAGGATTTGATTAATGATAATGTCATCGCTTTGATGTCTAAGAGGGGATCAGGGAATGCTACAGAATTGTGGAATGAAGGATAACTTGAGGGAATGTTGGAAAGACTCCTAAAAGAAATACCTTCAAAGCGAACCGGACCAAGGAATCGTCGGATCAGCAAGGATTCTGATGGAGTGGAGAAGCTTGATAAGAGTGCGAAGATCGCATTCGAAGATTTCGACCTGTGTGTTACTGCTTTGTATCTCGGCTTTTGGCAGGTGTGAAGACTCTATTCAGGACAGGACAGACTGAGAGGAATACTGATCAGTGAATCAGTGCGATGTTTTCCGCTGGATTTGCGCAGAAAATTGACCGACGACTCGACGACTGAGGCATTCTGAATTTGTCCAGAAGCATGAAATGATGCAGACGCTTGTGGAATTATAGGGTTGACTCATGTTCGTACCTAGTAGGCTACTTAGTGCCTTTGCTGTGCATCTTCTACCTGGAAGGGCCTTTTGATAAGTTATGCATAGCACTGAAATGCTTTTTTGTCACACTTTGTTTCGCAGTCAGCCCAGTCCTACCAAGGATGATTCTGTCGTACTTTGAAGATCCTGCAGATCCATTCAAGCTTCAGATGCCAAAGATTTACTTGGAAGCGAAGGATAAGCTGGATGAGCTGAACACCCTGAAGGATACTGCGAAGGAGAAATTGATGCCAAGCCCCACGTCTGGCGTCAGAACTTGGGTTTGACCTTATTCTTTGAGGCGTATAACATCATGTGAGCAACCACTTTTATTTGGTGTTGACCAAAGTAGTCTACGGCATGCTCTATTTGCTTGTCCAACATCAGTATTCCCTGGTGAACGAGATTGGGCCCCCCACATAAACCAGATACTTTTACTTGATGCCACTAAGTCTGAACGAGATACTGTGATCTGCTACTAAAGCAGTTTGAACGAGATACTATGACCTCCTACTAAAGTAGTCTATATAAACGAGATAAGGGCCCCCACATAAAAGATAGTGTATAAATACGAGTTTAGCAACGAATCAATGTCGCCGCTCATGTCACATCTTGGATGGACGTTGTCGGGATGTCAAGTTACCGCATGATCACGATGCACAGCTTACGATAGTTTGGTTATGTTTGGTTTCTTTGTCGGTTGATCACTCAAACCACTACGAAAGAGTCGAATAATGCTGATGGACTTGGAGCTATTGAGTGTAGTTGAGGCATCAGATGAGAACAAACCTGGAGAAAGATGAGAGAAGACTCGACCACCCGGTTTTCTGACGGTTTGTGACATTGTTTGACCTGACCAGTGAACCGTATTCATGCCCAGAGCAGGAGAAGTACGCTGCTTGGTTTGCAAGAGCTTGATGTGAGACCAGCATTCCGAATGGAGCAGCTTTGTGCTTTGGCCACTAGGTCATTAGGTATACATCTTGACAACATTAACTTCTTTAGCTGAAGTGCTCGGCTTTAGCTCAGTGACCACGTCCGATTCCATGCTTTGCATTGGCATTAGTGAACATGAAGCATTTACAAACATTTACATGCATTTACCACGTGTGTGTATACCGAGCTTGAGACCATTGTGTGTGTTTTTAATGAGAATCAGTGGATGCGTATTGAGAGATTCCTGCATGATCATCAGGAGATTATCTCATTAGATGTTGATCCAAGGCGCAAGTGTTGAAGTGGTTCAAGGTGCAAGCAATGAAGAGCAACGAGTTCCTCGGAACTCGTCTTGGCTGGTCGATGTGCCATTCCAGCTTTTGGTATGCCATACTTTTTTTTCAGAGATGCTTGATGCTGGTGGTTGCCATTTGTGACCTTGTTGCTATATACTGTCTTGCAATTTTTGTGTTCAGTTCTATTTTGCGACTATGGACAGTTTCGCAGGTGAATAATCCTTTTGATTTGGAACTTCTTTAAGCTCCCACAGTGTGAATTATGCCAACACTTTTACTCCTTTAGATCAGGTTCTGCTTGCTTTGGGACAACCTGCTCATCCCTGCTAACATGATCATCAATGCTGACATGAAGATGAAGAAGGAGAGCTGTCCTTCGATTGTGTTTGAGGGTTTTAATATGTGCTTCGACGTGCCATTCTACTTTCTGACCATTCAGGGTCCGCCACGACCAGTCACTAGTGATTCGCCAAGCAATTCAGGAGTTCATGCTCCCTACCTTTTGCCAGAACAAGCCCTTCTCAGCTGCCACGCTGGCAAGATTGCATCGTTGATGTTTTGAGGTGTATTAGAGGTTACCACACTCGTCTAGTGGGAGGAATCTCCGCACGTCCAGAGCTTCCTCATGCACCAAAGCTAATAGAGAATCTCTCACATTATTCCTCTCTTGCTAATCAAACATATCCACTCAATGTGCGCTTGGAGCTGCCTCTAGGGACCGTCTGTGTCGCTCCTTATGTTTCGATGTCTTTTGCTGACGGTCAGAAACTCTACCAACGGGTCAAAAATGCATTCGCAATAAGCAAGATCTTACAACGCTTTCGTATTCTTCGTGAATTCTTGAAGCGATGAATTTGTAATTCACCTGTGTGTGTGACTGTGTTTTAGTCCGGTCACTCTTTTGGTGGTGCGCACGTTTTGTTACGTAGCATTCCTTGTTACATACCTGACCTCGGGTACCCCACCTAAGTGGAAGGACCTTGAGGTGCGATGACGGATCGATCGCGAGTTGGTTTGGGGTGTCTTAGAGGTTTTTCTTTATGCTCGAGAACTCCTGGTGCAGTCTAGTCACTCACTGGCAGGAGTCCCGCCAAATCATGTAGAGGCTGGATCGTAGCCATCGAAAATCATCAGGAAAAACTGACTGGTTAAGCCCTTTTTTGAGATTTGACACATGACCCAGGTCCGCTACATGTACAACAAAGCTCACAAAGGATATATCGGCCACAGGCCACAGAACGCTGTAGTTCTGCCTACTGAGTACAATAGGTGGACTCCTTGGACAGGTGAACCTTTCCATTGGCCCAGGCGGCCATCCATGTGGTTGGCCGCCTGGGCCCGACCTCCGAGAAACATAGGATAACATGGCACGCGCCAATGGCATAACTAAACATTGAACATTTGTCGTTATGGACTCAGAGGTTTAATAACGTTTCTTTACAAAGACTATATAATATCAACAATGGCCATATCCTTAGGTCCTATGGTCTTTATCAAATCTTTATGCACGCAACCGGATTTCGCGGGTTGTTTTCGTTTGCGGCTGGACTGCTCCCTGGTACTGGTTTTGCCAGGAAGATTTACAGATCCTTTGGTCATTCAAAGAGTTTGATGGCAAGCGCACCGTCAAGAAGAAGACCAAGGAGCGACGCCGTCAGAGAGCCAAGAAGAGGGAACCGACATGAACCGACCCGCAAGACATGCTCAGGTTGCGCTTGCAGACATCGGCACGTGCCGAACTAGAGCAACTAAGCGTTGTTTTGTGCAACATGCGCTCTTCACAACCGAGGTCGGAGGTTTTCACAACGACTCCGCGATGGGGCAGAAGCGGCTGCTGTAGGGAGCTTGGGCGCTTCATTTGACTGGTGTTTTGCTATTGTTTTAATATTTTTGGGAAGCTTGGCGATCCGGTTTCATCTCCTTTGATGTCTCTTGCAGCATTTGTTCGCCCCACTCCTCGGCCTTGCCAGGCGGCAGAGGCCAAGGCAGCTGGAGCTGCAGCCCCTGCGGAAGGAGCACCAGCAGTTGCACCAGGCGTGACACCTGCAGGATCGTTTTCCGCTTGACTTTGCCGGAAACCATGTGGAGGGCACAACTATAGGTGTCAAGAAAGCAATGAAGGATGTTTGACATGTGGGATTTACGTGCTAGCTTGTTTTAGATTCCTTATAGTTTGTGGTTGGATGGAGCTCTTTGTAGGCTACAAACTCAAAGGTGGATATGTGAGCAGTCCTGTCACCACATTTGATTT